CCCGACTGCTGTTCCCGCGCCAGCTGGAGTGTATCACTGGATTTAGGGTGTTAGGGAAGCAAAAAGTTATTTTGACAGACTGACAAAACATTTGGTAGGTTTTGGTCTTTTTGTGGGGGATTTGTAGACAAAAAAGAAAAAAATGTTAGATGTAATGTAGGAGCTCTATCCTTAAATTGGTGCAAGGGGAATCTTGTATCCAACGCAATAAAGCCACATAGATTTGCATCCATCTCTGCAAATTGAAACTACTGAATGCGGTGCCACAGCAGAGCTCTTAAGTTTCGTGCGCAAACAAAGGGGGGTGGCCACCAGAGACCATAGATTTTGCTGGGCCTGCGGGGAAGTTGATACTAAGAGAGCTATTTTTGACATGGAGCATCTATCATGAAATAACAATGGCTAGGACCGGAGGAGGGGACCAGGCACAATTAAAAACTGTCCTTCTTACAATTTAGCCCTTGCATTAGAGCACTGTAGAGGAACATGCCGTAGAAATAATCCTTTTAAGTTCACAAATTAATGACAAAATTGAATGCAAACCACATACCTTTCAAACCCAACACCAAGCGGGATTCTTGCACAATCGCGTAGAAGTTTGGTGGAATCGCACTAACACCCAAATGAAATGAAATGTGGAGCGGAAGGAGCAGGAATGACAGGAAATGGATATAAGAAGGAGTCGGAGAGAGGTGAAAATACACAGGAACCCAGAGCCACATCCTCTTTTGGAAAGAGTTAGCTGAGTCCACTTCAGTTTGGTTATTCCCCAAGTTACTGCCAGCTGTTGGCCGAAGAAGGGAGTAAGCAGGGGGCCTGAGAGGAAAACAGGAAGGAAGTGCATCAAAGCGTGATGGGAGGACAAAGGGTGGGGGGGGTGAGAGTTGTTATAGATGGAAGGAAGAGGGCGATGGCTGGAAAGGAAGAAGGCAGGCAGGATGGGGGATGGGGGGGCTATGAAGTGTGTACCCGGCTCTTAGCTTCAGGCGTCCCCTGTGGTCCTGGGTCGGGTGTGAGGGGGGGTGATGAGGAGGGAGGAGGAAGAGGATGGAGAAGAGGAGGAGGAGGAGGAGGAGGGGCCGAGGCCAGGGCCCACGCTTACACCTCAAACTGTCAAATGAGATTTACAACAAAAAATGAGGCTCTTTGCAGCAAATCGAATTTCTCATGAGACAACCCCCCCCCTTCCTTCCTTCCTGCTTTCAATTCAGAGAGACTGAAGAGAGTGGGGCTGATGGATAGTGTGACCTGATGGGATGAGGAGTGGAGGAAGTCGAACTGTACAACAGGAAATGATGCAAGTGAGGCTTGAAACAGACAGGAAGGAAGGATGTGACTAATACAGGAATGACTTCCTCTGCCCTGTCTGATTCTCTAAAATCCTGCCTGACGTGTTTGCAGCAGCATAAGTTGTTTAGAAGTAGTCTTTAATGTCCTCTTGGAGGATGATTGAGGCCAGATATTCTTGTCCTGGTGATTAAGTGGGTGCACTATTCATATTCATATAAAAAGAAGCAGCTCAGTCTGTATTTGGGTCAAACATTCACCAGCATGGAGTAAATGTTTGGAAAAGGGCCTGACATGTTCAAGCAGCTTCATACACCTTAATTACTATTAAACCCATGTCAACACATCCATATTACAGATGTAAGAGGTCACTAAGAGTGAAAAATCTTATGACGGTCAAGATTACTCTCTGCAGTAAATCACAGAAACATAGGGCAAAAATATAAAAGTGATATTTACTAAATCATGAATTGCTCATATGTTGGTTTGTGACTGTGTTTGGGTGCTTACCATGATGACTGACACCCCAGCCGTGGTGTTGTTGTGCTTAGGCGCAGTGTTAAAGTGCGTCTTCAGTTTACCTGTGACCTCCATCTTCATGTTGTTCCCCATGACTGCGTCGTCCTACATACACACAAGCATGCAATGAGGTGAAGTGGTACAATGGTTTTTACACACACAGGAAACTGTCTGGATGTTCGAATCACAAGCACCGCTTCGGAAGTTGTGTGCACACATACACAATCAAATACAGACACAAACAGTGCTATGAAATACCGTGACCCAGGGGTGGGAGAGGATGTCTTGTGCTGTGTATCGAGCCTCAGCGTTGACCTGCAGCATCTGTCCAATCAGCTCCTGTAACAAAACACGCCACAGTATTGGATAAAATCAGCTAAAAGTTCTTTGAGCAGCGTCCCTTTATTGTGTCACTGACAACACACACATATTGAGGTAGGATTGGGCCATATTATTGACCTTTAGGGATATTGTATTGTGAATAAATAATCATATTGTACCATTGCTTTCTTATCCAAATTAACAATTTTGAAATGGGTTGTTCAAGTTTTGTTTTACACATATTAAGAGTGTTGTCCAACACAGTTCAACAATAAACAGTTGAAAGAGTTTAAAGCTGCAATATTCTGGATTTGTTTTTGTACACTTCGGGACAGCACTCCACAACAAGCTGAAAATGGCTCACGTTAATTAAGTTGATTTGGCCGATGTGTTAGCAAACAACCTGCAGAATTTATTAGGAGTCATGTTTCTTGGTCTCCACCAACTTCGGAGGGAAATATCTGGCTCTTGAGCTGCTAAATGCTCCACTATATATTCATATATATTGGTGCTGGGTCAATAACGTAGACTTTAGAGTGAACCAAAACAGCAAAGTTGCAGGCCATAAAACCAAAGCAATGAGCTGAAAGATGCTAAAAAGCTTCACAGAGCTGTAAGAACTTCATAGTCAACGTTTATATAACCATCACTTTACACACTGTTCATATAGAAATATTCATTAGTGCAGCTTCACTTATTTTATGTTTGATTTCACATACACTTGCTATATCATGATATATCTTGAAAGCAGAACATTTCCACCCTATGGCCAAGCCTTAAAATTAATGTGAACACAATGCAGCATGTTAATATTCACTAGTAATTTCCTTATTTCATTGGGGGTATTGTAAGCCATAAACTGTACAGATGATACAGATGATACAGATGATGCATGTGCTCTCGCTCGTGTGCGCCTACAAAATCAAAATCAACCCCTCTTAAATTTCCACCTGCACAGCTGCATAAGTGCAAGTAGTGTCATGCTGTGGTGTCTATAACTGCGCACTTGTCTACATTGACAGGGAAACTGTAATAGCAGTGGGTTTAATTAGCAGTTTGGTCTTACATGCTGAGTGCAGGCTGTCACCTTAATACATGACATTAATTTAGAGGGTTGGCGGGGTTTCTGTGTCCTTGAGCAGACAGTAGTCATTAGAGGAATGTGAACAATGTGGGTTCACATGTGTGTGTTTAAACTATAACATTTGGAGACCTATTTCAGACTTTTTACTACCGCTGCACTCAGTTAAAGGTAAAACTGTTTCTGGCCTTATTTAGTTACGACCATGCTTTGGTTAGTGTAATCCTCAGAAAAAATAAATATCATCAAAAGGGACATAAATGAATGTATGTGAGTGTGTGTCAGTGGTCCTAACCTTGGCTGAATCAGTGATGTTGTCCCAGTAAGGACTGGGAAAGTCCAGACGCCCCAGGAGGATCTGGTCAAACAGATCCTCTTGCATATTACTCTCACTATATGGAAAGACACAGACACTGAGTGAACACAAATGGCATACATCTACACTGTAAAAAAAACTGCACTGTGTACTGCACTTTGCAAAATAATGAATAACCCCACCTGTACCCTACTCTTTAATTAAGTGGTTATTATAATAACCGTGAAGTGCTATAGATTAAACATGGATCCCATTAATTTAAGTCAAAGCCCTCCCACACTGTGACTGTGCGAACACAACTCTTAACACAAAGACTAATCACAGCTACTGTTTGTTTATGTAGCATAAGATAACAAATTGCCAAATAACTGAAAATGATTATAGTGGTTTGATACTACACATGGTGCCATGAGTAAATTATGTTGACATTGTGTGAGTCAGTTCAAACACGGGCTACACTGGACAATACAAAATGAGGTTTTATACCTTCTAAATGGAGGGAAGCCACACAGGAGAATGTAGGTGATGACACCTGCAGCCCAGATATCCACCTTCAGACCATAACTGTAGAAAGAGAGGAGAGACATGGAGGCACAAAAGGTCAGTTCAGATTACATCATCCATCACCCCAGTGTCACAAATACAGTAGACGATATGAAACAACAAAATAGTTACAAAAGTACAATGCATTGATATTTTGGAAAGACAAGGATTTTAATCTATAAAAATATAGAAGCAGATAAACCAATACAACCATTGATGCTGTGCTGCTTTATTCAGTATGCTGATACGCAAAATCTCTTTTTAATCTCCATACAGATGAGCAAATTAAAACTTGCATTTCTATTCTGCAATTGTACGTAGAACAGATGTTTCCATTTAAACCAACTCACAGATCAATAAAAATATGCATGTTTATCTACCTTCCCGAAAACTAAAAATCTAGGTACTAAAATGTAGCTTACCCTGACTCAGCAATGATTTCTGGAGCCACATATGTAGGAGTTCCACATACGGTGTACAAAGGTCCTTCCACCACTGTGGCGAGGCCAAAGTCCCCGAGTTTCAGTGACTTGGTGCCATCTGGATACTCAAACACCTTAAATGAAATACATGTTAGTTAAAGCCCACTGCTGGATTTTGTAGGTAAGGAAGTGATATAAGTGTTATATATACCAGCAGGTTCTCCGGTTTAATGTCTCTGTGGACGATGTTGAGGCTGTGCAGGTACTTCAGAGCTCCAGCGAGATTGTACACCATGACAGTGGCGTCTCTCTCTGTATATTTGGCCGAGGAGGTAATGGCATCGAATAAATCCCCTCCCTGTGCCAACATCGACAAGGTGGTTAGAAATTAAAACCACACAGAGAAAGGAGGATTGTGCACGATGGTATTAGCCTCTACTGAACCTTGACAAGCTCCATAACCAGGTAGAGTTCAGAGGAAGTGTCCACCTCCTCTATCAACATGATGATGTTGGGGTGTTTCACCTTCCGCAGCACTGCAACCTCATTCTCTATAAGATGCTCCTGGAAACACGCCGTGACAAATAATCCAAGTGAATATTTTACTGTATCCTCCAGTACACAGGATTTACATACTGAGCCATTATGCTAATAAAAAGATGCTCCATTGTTGATGGAATCTGAATTGGTGTCAAGAGTGTGTAATTCACTGCGTGTCATTGTGTGTAAGGATGGGAAGATAATTTGAGTTAGGTGATGAATTAAACATTACTTGCCTGATCTAACTGTGAGGGATAAGAGGGTCAGAGACACACACACAGGTAATCTTGTGGTGAGTGTGTGGGTGTTAATAATGCATACACAACATATGACTCTTCCTTACAAGTATGTGCGTGGGTCTTACAGCAATTCACACAAAAGAAGAGGGAAGAAATGGGAGAAGGATAGTTTAAAAAAAAAAAAAAAAAGACGGAGACCTTTCCGCTGCACTTGGCCTTGTTGATGATCTTCAGTGCAAACTCTTTTCCCGTGGACCTGGACAGAAGCAGTGCAATTAGGGCCAACAATAAAAACGGCACTGACGCTGCAACTATGTCTGTAATACATATTAAGTGCTCACAAGAGAGCCACAGTTACAGTGAGCAGGAGCACTGCGACAGAGTTATTGGAAAGGTATGTTAGCTGTGCTAGCCAAGTTTCCAAGTTTATACAAAGAGCAGACATAGAGGCATCTGAGAATGCACACTTAAAGAGTAATTCAACACCAGGATGAAGAACAGTTTCATTGCCATCTCAGGTTCAAAGTTTCAAGTTTGTTTCACCTCATAAGAGAGCTATGTTGCACCTCTAACCACACTAACAGTGATGTCATGGTGTACTGACACGCTCTGGAGTACACTTCTACACCATTGAAGCAAGGTGAGATGTAAAACCACTGGAGGTCTTACAGGGAGTCTTAAGTTACTCTAACTAATATAAACATTTTCTTTTAAATTGTTTCTACTTGCAAAATATATATAATGAAAGGGATACATCTCAAGTTTTTGACCACTAGCGGTGCTATGGAGCAATGTTTTAGAACCACACGTGAGGATGCACCTGTAAACCCACAAACATGCAAGTTACGCAGTACACATTCTTGCAAAATGTTTAATTACGTTCCACTGAGAAAGAAATGTAGCAATGCACCAGCAAAAGACAAGGAAGAAGCTCCCAGCTGATGTAATCAAATGTATGGATTGCTGCAGTGAATTTAAACAATGGAGGTTTACAAATAATCAACAAATCTGAGCATTGAGTTTCATTCCTGACCTTTGGAAACAGTATAACTTTCAGCTAATCCTCACAGACTGTGAGATGTGACTGTGGTCACATTCACAAAATTGGTTTTGTAAATGTTTTTTTCTGAGGAAGGAAATGTTTCTTGGCCTCAAAGATACACAAAACGCATTTTGGTGAGAAATATTTACTGTAAACATAACTGTGTGTTGTTTACAAGATACTCCACAGGGAACCGTTAAGCATTTTGAAGGAAGGTGCATCAGATTATGAGAACACACACACACTTGACAGGCCTCCTTTCATAATCATAATCTCCCCTGTCTACCTGGGCAGTGTGTTGACTCAGAGATTAAAAGGCTAATGAAGTGAATTCACCACTGGGTTTAATCCATGGGATATTTCTGTCTCCACAATGCCTGTCATCGGGGCTTAAAAATCCTGATGAGGCAGTTCTCATTATGAAGCACGACATGGCACCCTGCTGTACCATCACTGCAGACAGCTGCCAACTATGTATCTAAAAATTTCCAGTCCAGAATGTGTTTCTCTTACCTCTCCACACACTCTTTGACCACGGCAAAGTTGCCATCTCCGATGACCTTGCCAACATTGTATTTTTCCGAAATGGTGGTGGCAGGCAGGTAGCGGTTACCGTTAACTGCTGGGAAGAGACAGTGGTTACAGCAGGCAACAGACAAGCCTGGCTGTTAAATAAAATGAAGGGAGCTCTGGCAGAAACTCAACCAGTTCTCAGACTGAATTAAGGGACCACATGCTGAGCAACAAAATAACACACAGGCACCAAGATGCACAGTGATCTCTTACTTGTCCTCCTGTGGCAATTAGTGAACTGAGCAGCAGTGTATTCTGCTATCCACACACACCACTAAAATCCTTTAGTTAAGTATCTGCTCGCACAGCACTTGGATATTTCACTCTTATCATCCACACACATGCCTACTCCTTGCTACTTTTGTTGGGTAAGCAAATTCAGAAATGTGCACTGTTGGGAAAAGTTGAGGACGATTTTAATGTGATAGTCAATGTCATTTCCACAAGCTACGCAATAGCGTTGCTTAAGTTGACAGATCAGGTGAATGAAGCAGAGGAGAGGACAGGACGTACCCTCTGGACTCAGTCGATTGGTTTGATCCTGGTGGTTGTTCAACGAGCCATTTAAGTTTGGTGAGGAGACCTGATGCGATGGAGGGATCTGCAGGATGCAAACACAAACAAAAATAGAGATGAGCGCCTGGCCTACAACAAAACCCACAGACGAATCACCATGGCAACCCCCGGCTTTAAAAGCGGCCACAAAACATGCTGTACGTGGATGAAATATAGATGGTTATTATTGGTTAGCCACTTTATTTGGTGGCATTTTGTGGCATAAAATGTTTAAGCTGAAATGAAAAGGAGACTAGTTAATGAACTATAAAGCATGCTACCCACAAGCATAACACATTTTGTGAACAGTACAGATTACGGACATTTTAAAATAGTAAACTAAATTAAGCTTAAGCCTTTTTAAAAATGTACAAGGTGTCAGAGCTACTGGAATAGATCTCCTCCTCCATATCCATTATCGTCACTGCACGTAAAACCAAATGGCTCCAAATGAATGATTCATTTGTTAAGAATGTAATTTCTGCAGTGGCAAATGTAACATCTTTTGGCTAAAATTTTTAAATGTCAGCCATAAATGCACGACACCAGCATTAGAATCGGAGCAGTGAACTTTTCCATTCTGTACAGTATTGAGTCTGTACCTTACTGCACCATAATGTACATTACCTTAAAGTAAGGATCTATTATTTAGTCTAAAAGGGTAGCCCTCTGGACCAAAATAGAAATGGGACACCTTCAAGGTCTGTTTCACAACTGGATACATAAAAAAGCTTTTCCCTATAATAAATAACTTCTTCATATGTCTTTATTTTACCTGACCACTTCCAAATGCCTTTTTTAGTGAGAGTGAATGAAAGAGAGAGGGAGCAACTAAGCCATTAACATCCTTGTGCTTCCTCATTTAGTTTTCAAAAAACTCAGCCTCTTTTGCCAGTGAATTTTAAAGCTTTCACTAAATCATAAAAATCTAATGTCCTGCCAAATGAATGTGGATGGATAAGTCTTTGACTGGGCTTAGAGAGGGATGGTGGCACTCTGGAGGAGTTTTGCCAGCTGGCTGGAGGAGTTAGAATCTCTGTAGTTTGGGACTAACACGCAGCTTACAGGAGAATCCATCAATATATCAGATTAGTAAAATGGTAACATGGGCTGTACACAGATCTGTAGGTCATACATGGCTGTCTGTCACTGACTTGATGACTTGACATAGACTCATTTAATAATTTTTTGGTAAGTAGGCCAATACAAATTGGCCTTAAACCACCTTAAAGTACTGCCTTAATCTATGTGTCTGGGGTCTCTGACGTTGCAGACCTGCAATTTACCAAGTGAATCATTACTGTTAAGTCCAGTAAAGGATTGACATTTTTAAGACCATAAACATAAAAGGTGTTTTTAACCACTAGTACACTATGGACGAGTGTTTTGATGAGTGGGTCCCCATGTTGTTTGCATGTTACACAATACACACTCCTGTTATTCCACTAATCAAGGGATGGCGGTAATATACCAAGAATGTAGCAAGGAAAGAAGAAGACAGCAAGCTAGTGGATAAGGATATAAACTATATAGATTTCCTCCAAACACAAAGCTTATTGGTGAAAATACTAAATGTAAACTGAACTGTGTTTGCTCAGAGAAAAACTCCACATGGCAGCTATAACATCATCGATATCTATATCTATAGCTGTTCGACAGGTCAGTTGTGGGTATCTGTGTGCACAACATCTATTGGTCTTGACATGTGGATACAACAATGTGATATACTGTCTTACCTTAAAACTGGCGAGTGGTCGGGGGCTGGTGGGAGACGGAGTGGAGGACTTGGTGGACCTTGGAGTTGAGATCTGGCTGCTTGAGACACCGTTTACTATACAGAAAAGGAAGGAGATATGTATGAGTAGGGAAAGAGTCACTAATTGTGAGTAAGTTATTTTTATAATAATTTGTATATAGACAAATATGTGTAATATATGTTTGTTAATAGGTGCCTTGATTTCCACAACCAGGTATTCTATAGTATTTTGATGTAACCTTCAACAGTACAACCAGGAGAGACAACTAGCATATTAAGAAAATGCCCCACACTGGGTAGTTGTTTTTATTAGACGCAAAACATCTAATGGAACTGGCTTACTCACACACTCACACATTAACATCTAGCAGGCTGTAGACATGCCACCTGCAGGCAATTGGTATTATAACTGCATTAAAGCTGCCGGTTTACTTTGTGTGTTCTTGAGGTTTAACATTTAACATGTTTTTGATCTGCTAGCAAAACTACAGTAATAACCCCCATAATAAGCAACATCAAACACTAACCACACAAGAACAAATAGCAGCTACAAACAAGCAAAACCTACAGTTCTAACAATATATACTTCTTTTTTCATTGCCTGTAGATGGTGCACATCCCATGTCTACAGGCTTAAACAGCTGCTGCTGTTACTGTTCTTGCCAACTGTTGAACTGAATAAGATTAAAAATTATACAGTACATGTAATAGAATATATATCTCAAATTATTTGGTTCAATTTACATCATAAAAAGATTTTATTATGTGTTAATATCACATTATCAAAGGACTTTCTCTGTACTACTATGTAACACTTCCATCCATAATAAACTTCAGTGTGGAACATAAGGTGCACAGGCACACAGCAGGGATGAGAGCTTTTATTGTTTGGGTGATTCATTCTTTCAAGAACAAACTATTTCTGCCTCCTGCTCTCTTGGTTTCTGGCACAAATACAGAGACATAATGCGTCAAACTTAAACTCAAAGTCTCTTCATCTGCATAAATCCAGCTGAGCTGAGGAAAATCATTTCACACTGCCTACAGGCTACAGGCTACTTCTTTAGACTCCTGATTCAGAGTTTTATTTCATTGTACAATTACTTAGAGGTTTTTTTTCACTTAACTTCTCTTTGGGTATTTATCTTTTTTGTAAAGGAGTTAAAAAAGGAGTTTTGTAAAGTTTAAAGCAATATTAAAAAAAAAAATTAAAACAAACTACAGTACAGTAGCTTTTAATATTTTAAAAGTATGGTTTAACTTTTGAGCACCTCAGCTGTTGCAGAAGAAGCCTGTGATTTAACTGCTCACCGAGAGCAGGATTTAATTAACACAGTCTAATCAGTTCATGGCTTTGAGTGGATCAGTGGATGCTGCAGCAGCTGGCTTTCAAATTAGATAGATGTGTATAAAACATGGCATCCCGTACTCTAGTCTGGGTCAGGGGGAGGGAGAGAAAGAAGGAAGGAAATGAAGGAAAACGTAAAACAATTGTATAATAAAGAAATTGAGATCTTTCAGGGGTTTGTGGCTCAGCACAGTTTATAAAACAATTCTCATTCTTAGTTCCTCACTGCTGTCGGGGGAAAAAAACATGGTTTTGACAGGTTGGAAGGGCCACAAAAAAACCATCACCATAATCTGCGGACTGTGTATCCCAGCATACAATTTTCATTTCACTTTTCCAATTTTTCCCACTGTGGATCGACAGTGTTTAAGTGACAACCAGCAGAGTCACACTTATTCTCAAGAGAAGAAAAGAGCCCTAAAGCTGTGAGGAGCTTGTTTTATTCAATTACTTTACACTGATATGACAGATGTTTATAATGCAAACTGCGTGACACCATTGCCAGCCTCACCTGGGGATTTAATTGGAGACTGACTGGTGGAGTAGTGGACAGTTTGCCTTGCTGCAGTGTCAGAAGCAAACAAAAATAAATAAATAAATAAAAAAACAGTAGTCAGGCAGATATGATTAGATACACCACAACACACTTTGAAACCGCTTAAATGTCCAAGGCTAAACTAAGACTGCAGGCACTCCAAACTGGCAACCTCTCAACGACCTCATCTTTGAACTTGACGTAATGACTTGTAGAACATTAATTACTCAGCATAATGTCGCCATCTCTCAATGCACCACACAAATTGCTTAGTCACTCGTCACAGCTGTTGAGGACTGAGGATGAAGCTGCCAAATAAAAAGCTATTACTCAGCCTGTCAAGCAGAAATGTACTTACAGTGCTACTTTGGCATCAGATAAATGGGAATTCTTTTCATTTGTGAAACATATTCTCATACATAATGTAATAATTTGCAAGACTTTACCTTTCATATTGTCTACTTACGAATTAGTATGTTATCTATGCATGAATATCTCTTAAACTAATAGGCCTAAAACACACTGTTTCTAGATTATGTATAGTTTAGCGAGTACAGTCATGTGTCTTACCTCCAGGAGACTTGCTGCGTCGTGATGGTCCGGGGCTCTTAGCTGTCCGGTTTGGAGTAGCAGAGCGGCTGTGCGACGACTTCAGCACTCTGCATTCTGGGGAGACAACGCACTCAGGGTCACCATCGCATATATTAACCTTCTTCTATAAACAAACCTGTTCTTTCTCTCAGTCAGAGTTAATGTGGCACATTTATGCTCAACAAGCTGCTGTAACAGGAATATGACCCTGCAAATGTTATTTATGTGGCATGATTTCATGAGTGCTGGTCACACGTGATTATGAGGACAGAGAGGCAGCAAGGAACAGAGGAAAACAGTGTTTAGTCAAAAGAAATTAAAAAGCACATAAAAAATACACTTTTTAACCAGATGTTGGGTTGAAAAGTGATAAAATTATGCTTCTATAATCTATTTTTTTCATTTTACAAGAAGAAGACAAACTTCTCCAATGTTAAATGTTGTTTAAACCAAGCAGCCGTACAATAAAGGATTTAAATGTATAACAATTTAAATAAAGGACAAATAAACAACACTACATATATGTCAAAATTGGCATTTTATACTCGTCTCTACAGACATATACAGACGTACATTAAGATTTGGATGTCTTTTACTGTCAGAGCAAACCAATTACAACAATTTGTGTTTTCCTCTGGAAGACAATATCTAGGCTAAAGAAAAACAAAAAAACAATCATAAGTTTTGTTTTTTATGGTGTTGGTGGTGCCGATTCTGTGGTGGTATTGTGTAGCTGTTCAGTAAGAGCAGATGTTGTTATGAAGCTTGTGGTAAACTTGTCAGGGTTGTGTTAATGAGGGTGTGGGCGGATAGAGGTATAATGTAATGACACACACGAAAAAACCCGCCCACTGTAGCACACCCACAGTGCATTTCTAATGTGTTCCCCATGCTGTTTATCACCAGACACATATTTACTGACTGATTACAAGGGGCTCTCAGCATAGTACAATCCCTTGCATGGTGTACATATAAAACCAACAAACCCAATCATTTTCTAGGACAACCCGAAGTGAGGATTTTCATCTCTAACCACAAAATGCTTGAGCTTATAGAAAAGAAGACATATGGTCGGTTTTTAGTTTTGTCTTGGTTTGTTTGTTTTAGTCGTTTAGCTCCATTCCCACAACTGGATTATTCTATTTATACTAAGAATTACTGGAGAGATGCTAACTAACTGAAACATATTCCTGATGGTGCAGATGGCATTAGGCTGTTTTTCTATGTACATTTTCTGATTACACCATCACAACATACATTTTCGCCTTTTTGCACGATATATTGCATAGGCCATCTTTATTCTTTCCATGTTTCAACAGTAGAGTGTGTACTGGACCTATTTTGCAAAAGGAAGAGCAGCTTCTGTACCTTCAGCAGAGTCGAGTGTGCCTTTTTTGTTCTTTTAAAGACCTAATTCTTAAAAGTGGAGCACAGGAGTGTAAGTGGGACAAAAGCTCCAAACTATCTCTGAATACGACCCATCCACCATCACTCATCCTCAGTCACAGTTAGCACAGTGTGTGTTAGGATACGCCTCCCTGTTGTTAGCTAACCTGAAAAAACAAAAAATAAAAAAATAAAAGAGGATGTCAATACTTTGACTGTTACTATAATAAACTCCCTTTCCTTCCCACAAGGTTGTCCGATGCTGGGTGAAGTTCTGCATAGCTTTGACAGTGAATGGATCTGCTGGTTTAAAGAGGTCATATCCTGCCTGTGTGCTTTTTTCCTGCAAGATAAAGGGGTGATACCCAAGACAGGATATGCATAATATACTATATGTACAGCACATACAGTACAGAACATGAACACAAAGGTATTCACACAACACAAGCACAAAGGAATGAAATTTCAGTCAGACAACGAGAGTGCAAGCTCTTTTCCTTACCTGACAGCAAAAATGTGTCTGTGTGTGTGTGTGTGTAAATGTGTAGCACAAACTTTTTTTCTGTTAATGCTAGACTGACTAAACTCACTTTCCAACATTGTAACCTGAATTATACTCATATCCTGCTGTCAACCTCCTAAAGGAAAAGAGCGTTGCAAGCACCAGTGAGGGAAGAATAGTGAACCCATATACACGTACACATACACCGATGGATGTTTAGTTAGTCTTAGTCAGGCCTACCAGTCATAAAGGCCATGGAAGCCTTACCACTGTGATCCAACACAAAGTCGTCCTGGGCATAGCGGTACTTCTCTGGGCCGCAAGCTATAAACACATCATCTTCCCCGAAGAAGTCCTGCAGGCAGGTTATCTGGAGGAAGAAGGAAAATATTCAGAGGGGTATAATACTCATTTACTTATTTTAATATTCAGAGGTGGGAGTGAAATAAGTAATCAGGTCCTAACAGTATATGTATAGTTGTAAATGTGATTACAGTATTTTTGGATGTGAAATAATTGCTTCACTCTGTGCTCTCTGAAATAGGCCAATTAAAATCAATCTGTGTGATAATGTAAGTGTGTGACTCTGCATGTGTTTAAGTGCCCCACACAGAGGCACACAGTATTTCAAGAGAATGAAGGTCAAAGCACCATGACATCCAGAATACTGCAGAGTCAATGCAGAGTCATGGAAGGGAAGCAGTACAGTTAATGTTTGTGCTGCAGGGTCATTTGTCTTTCTTTTTCTATTCTGTCTCACACTGTGATCGTCATTTTCTCTGCAGATCCGAGCACTTTTCCTTTTACACCCACGACCCACCCCTGGAGACGGAAATAGTAGTTACTTTTAAACTATAGTGAGTTGTGCCCACACACACACACATAGAGATTATCTCTCTGTTGCTGTAGGTGGACAAGTAGGAAGACAAAGGAGGAAAATATGTTCATTATCCCACCCCCCACCACACACAAATGCACCCACACACTGCCAGGCATAGGCAAGGTACTGTTTTTGCACACACACACACACACACACACACACGCACATGCACATGCACACAAACACGCACACACACACACCCACAACAACTTGAAAACAAGAGTAAGGAGGAGGAGTAGTGATGGCTGAAGATTGTGGCAGATGGATCCTCCTTAAGGAGATTGGGGCTCACACCAGTGGGGGAAGTGTGGTTTTGTGTGTGTGTGTGTGTGTGTGTGTGTGTGTGTGAGAGAGAGAGCGATAGAGAGATGGGTATTAGAAGAACTGGTGGTCCAGAAAAGCTAAATGGCTACTGAAGAGCACAATCTGCACAGTAAAAAGACGAGTCAGAGGCTGAGAGAAAAAGAAACGTTAGTGGTGTAGGAGTGAGACATCTGACAACTAAAATAGCAAATGTGCAAAATTTAACACAAATAAATATACAGTAGGTCTGAGTTACATCCTCATTAATAATAAATACGACACTTCTCATGACACTTCTGTATGTCCTACATTCAGACAGCATCAATTAAAAATGTAACAGGATGCTGTATCCATAACATTCTCATAAATAACCAAAACAGTATTTCATGGCCTTAATATGATCCGAACAAATGGATGGCCTCGCCTTACAAAGAAGAAAAAAAAAAAGAAACAGTGAAAATAGAAAATATGGTGTGTGTGTGTGTGTGTGTGTGTGTGTGTGTGTTGTGTGTGTGTGTGTGTAATATGTGTCCATACAGAGCTGTGGCAGATTTGACATAGCTGGAGTGGATGCCATTCTTTAGATGAGCTCTCAGCCTGGAACTTGGCAGCTGATCGCCACACCATACTGTCAGGGCACAGGTGTCAGGATCACCATAGTAACAGCCCACACATGGATAATCCGATGTATGTGTTAAAAATGGACCATGGTAGTGCAATCTATGATAGCCTATTATGTAACTGTATATTACAGTAGATATTTCTCATTGACCTCTGACCTTAATCCATACACCGTTTTCTCTGGTGTGCAGACATTATCAAGGATAACGCTCTGCTGTATTTTTCCTTCCACTCAGCAGGCTGTGTTGATATGGAGCATGCTGGTCATTTGTTTGAGGACAATGTCAGACAGCAACACAGGGACTGCTGAAGTGAGCACTGTCCCCTGGCAGGGAAACCACTAAAAACTGTGAATGCCACATCAAGCACTGTAAGAGGACCTTGGTGACAGATCGACATTTTCAGCAAGAAAAAATATAGTTTATTTTAGAGTTAATGTGAACATTAATACCATTCTCAAATTTGTCCATTAAGTATAGTTAGAGTTAAAGAGCTACAGCCAACAGCCAGTTGGCTAAGTTTAGCACAGCTAGCCTGATTTCGTCCAAACATCCACCTACCAGCGCCTCATTTGTTTAATATGTAAAAAATGTGTAGTGCATGTGCAAAAACAACAGTTTGTTGGTTTTTTTTGGCCATGCACAGTAACTTCCTAGAGTCTCCCCTAGTTGCCTGGCAACTGCTCAAAAACAGTCCAGCACATGTGACACCATAACACGAATGAATGAATGAATTGTTGTTTTTACACTTCAGTTTTTTAATGAATTAAAGAAGATATAATGTGTTGCTTAGTGAACTTTGAAGGTTCTAGTTGGCAGATTTTATTACTGACAGAGCCAAGATAAGTTTAAGCTAAGCTGACCATCTCCTGGCTGTAGCTTCAAATCAAATTGAATAGACAAATATGAGAACGATATCGATCTTCTAGTATCTGCAGTAACTCTTCACCAAAGAGAAAATAAGCGTATTGCCCAAAATGTCCAACCTTGGTTTTAGGTCATTAGACAATGTTCAATTGTCCGATTTGAATCCATGCTTCGACAGCATGGTAACAGAAGTTATCTCGCTGTTGCTCCAGAACATGCTTATCCCTGTACCACCTGAGGCAACAGGCTTATTGTGAAGAAAGGGAACTCAAGGCAGGAACACTATAGATCTTTGTCGAGAAGGCCCCTGGCTGTATTCTCATTTACTTCACACCCCTGCACACACCTTTCTCTCTGCAAGCCTAGCACTGCTGTGGCCTGTGATAAAGTACTTTTCAGCTGGCCTGTGACGCCCAGGGGAGTGCCGGGGAATGGAGACAAATGGTCCCTGTATAGACACTGGTTTAAAAGGCAAAAATGAAAAGAGGTCAAGTGGTTGAGAAATTATGGTAAATGCCACGGTGTGTTAAACCATAGGGTTTTAACTTAGATGCACATTTTAAAAGCTCACTGTTTACATATTACTGGTTAAAATGACTGTATATTTAAATATAGAATAAATTCTGTGGGGACTAAAGAATATATAATTTGAACAAATGTGTTTTTGTTGTTAGATCATCATTATTCATTTCAGAACTTATAATACTAGGGGTGAAGTATGTGGGATAAGAGAGGAAGTCTTATTAATGAGGACATATTATATTAACCCAACACTTTAGAAATAGTTTGGTACCACAATTTAGCAGGGTAAATAGGAGTTAGGGCAAAGTAAACATCCAGTTTAGGAAAAAAAACAGCATTGCTTACAGCACAACCCAGCAGCAGCTGAAAATCTTGCTTTTGCTGACTTCTGGAGGTTTAACTTTTCACCTCGCTGCATTGATGTATAAGAGTTCTCCAGAGTGTGTCAGTACATCGTTACATCTCTATTGGTCTGGTTACAGATACAACAATGCTTCTTCTGACCACACCCAGGTGTTATAATAACATAAAAATCTTTAAGAGCACTTAACTGCTGGAAACTGATGGGCCTCAGCCAACCACCAGTCACATTATTAATCGTATTATTATAATGATGATGAGGTGTTCTTAAAAATGTGCCAAGCTCTCACTCATAATGTCACCACTGTTCATTATGATTTGATCCCTCCAGCTACTAGCTGCTGTACTGGCTGTGAAGATTGAGTTCTTTTTGTTGCCAAATCCAACAACAGCATCCTGTTTATGTAACCATGTTTATTTAGCCTCTCACTAAAATGTGACTGTTAGCTTATGTCCTATAAAATATATATATTTATGGTGTAAATGCTCCATATAAATAAAATTATGATTATGCTTGTAATACCTAAAAAAACATAGGCTTATGCTGAAAATATGAAAATAATATAAACAACCAAATATCTGCAGCAGACTATATAGAGCAAAGTAGCAAAGGAATGTTATGACTGTCAAACTACACTGTCCGTGTTTCTCTTTGCTCTTGTCAACCACTGCCAGGATAAAAAACAGCCAATGGCACTCCATCGCCAAGGCTGTCCTGCTAGGGCTTGTCTCAGCCAATCAGTGAAGTGAACTGTTTGCAGGGTTCTGTATTGGCTGGGTAACGTGTCTTGAGGGTAAAATGAAGTTTGCCCTCCAAGATGCGACAACCCCCCTCCTCTCGTATGTCTGACCTTCTCTTGCTCTCGCCATCCGTCTGTGTCCTCCGTCTTGCCTGCTGTACTTTCTGCCCTGCTAAGCTTGGCAACAGAGAAAATACAGGCCAAGGGCTTCAAGTGTGTATTTGAAAGTATCAAAGGAAATCTTTTTATTAGTCCAATTACAAACCCTTAAACTTTTAAAACATTATAACATTAAGCCCAAAGTGAACCTACCCAAAAAAAAAATGATCTTGCAGATCCCTTAATAACCAAGTATTATAACAAATATAATATGTGAGTGGTTTTCATATACAATGCATAAAAACAAACCAAAACATGTATTATCTAAATATATATATATAGTATCAATACACTGCCCAATACACAGATTTTTGGGGTGGATAATTGTCGTCTCTTTATTTTGAATAAGGGCTCTGTTACCAAAAAAACAGTGTCACACAGCAGGTGCTAAGAATTCAGGGCAGTGGAAAAGCCCGCAATACACACAAGATACAAGCAAGAAAGTAAAGGCTCTCCTTGTGATGGCTAACAGGACAATAATCACTATAATCATTGGGTACCAAGAGCCCCATTTACTTTCAAACCCCTCATTGTTGCTCATCACCCTGAGCCAAATGAGCAAGAGGCAAAGAAGGTGGGAGGAGTCCTGAGGGAAATACCCCCCAAAAAAGAGACAGCAAGATCGAGATCTCTGCCTCTTGCCTTGGGGAAGGTCAGCCTACACAACATTACAGCTGTTACAAAGGAAAATAACCTTTCATGGTAAACTAGATGCATGGTGGCATGCTTTACACAAGCTAAAACTTTCACTTAAACATGCAGATAGGTGGATGCCCATTAAGTTTGTCAGGGTGATGCTTAAGCTAAAGCCAACCAGATTATTGACTCTATTTGAACTCTTACTCACAGACTGAGGCTGCTTTCCGAGACAGTTTAATTCCTCTGGATTAGACCGGTAAATCTCAGGCACGTGTAATAG